AATACTGTGTCAACTCACTGGAGGTGACTTTACTTTTCTCTACCATCTGAGCAAGCTCATTAGGGGCGGCTAAAGATTTTAATGCTCAAAACAGCCTCCATGGGCCATCTTCTACATTCATTGTTTGTAGTAGTGAGGTTTGTTTCATACTACGCTGTCATCCTTGTTGAGTAATGTTTTCCTCGACAACCTCCTCCAAGTGCACACACATCACCCACATTAGGATTTTAAGCTCTTGATCAACATCATGTAATGAATCATCAAACTCTTGACAAACAGTATGTGGTGGATATAAATTAGAAGGCACATGGATGACTAATCATGTAGCAAGTGCATGCATTAGAGGAAAATGTGTTTGATATTCCGAATATGTTGGCAATCTTGATCGAGCACGTGAAAAAAATCTGGCCAAATTGTGAGAGTGGTGCCATGCCTGGTAGATGGTGTCACCCTACCCTTCAATACACCGACAATGTGGTGCATGGTATGAGGCATGATCTAGAAATTAAAGAAGATGCCAACCTAACAAACGTGATACTCATATTTTAGCAAGGTGCTTGGAAAACATGGAATAAAGCCATGAAATATACAAGCACATGTGCCAAGTCTAAGACTTGAACTTAGGTGGGCTAGTTCCGTCACAATGAAGTTGACTATCAAAACAATGCTTACTTCGCTTGAATTTCACTTTGTGAGCGAGCGTACAAGCCGACGTTATACAGATGGCTGGTATGTTTTGCTTAGTCCGTTGTGTGACTTGTTCTAGCTCATCTAGAGAAAGTTAGAACCACCCAAACTTCCATCAAAAAGTGAGAACTACTGGGGAAAAACACTCGAAAGGCTTGTGAGTTCATTTGTTTTGGCCCATGAATTGCATTGGTGTGTAGGCAACAATGCGGAGGGCGAAGCAAAGTGTGCATTTCGCTCTAGCTCCATTAGGCAACCACCATTGTGTGTGTGTGTGTGTGTGTGTGTGTGTGTGTGTGTGTGTGTGTGTGTGTGTGTGTGTGTGAGAGAGAGAGAGAGAGAGCAGTTTGCTTTTGAATAAATGTTTGTGCTTTGAACTTCATACGTAGTACAAAGAATAGATGTTTGTGTGTGTACTTTGTGTTGTGTTGTGATGCTTGCTTCATTATAGTACAACCAATCAATATGGAGAATCAAATCAAACTAATCCCCACCCGCCTTAATTTACTTGCCGTACTTCAAAGGGATATCTTATCCGGAGAACCTGCAATCTGGAGCCATGCATTAACTAAATATATGTAAACGTGACACACACTTCCAATCATTTCTCTCTTGATCCAGGATATCTTATTTTTCTCTTCACACATTTACTTGCCCAACCTACACATGAATGGGTGATTCCGTTGCCGTTAGCACCGACGACAGCCTTGCAGCTAGCATGCGGGGACAAAGGTAAGGTATCTCCAGGCACAACATCGGGTTTGTACATGCATTGATGCCAAGCAAATAAACAATGAGCCGAGGGATCTCTGAGATCTCTCCGCGCCAAACCAGCCAAAACCTGAGTGTTTCTTTCTGGAGTGATTAGTCACTTTATTTATATTACACAGTGAGTCCTATTTACAAAATTTGTTTGTGATACACTGATTTTTAAAATAAATATTGTTTTTTTGCGCCTCTGCACCCAAGAAGGTAAACCCGACAAAATTCTTTGTCTAATTAATTATTAGAATGAAAACGTGTGCTAAAAATATTTATAAGTAAATTTAGCAAACCGGCCATTGGGTAGTTTCGTTGCGTTGACAACGTGCCATCTAATTGTGATGCTTTACATAAAACTCAAAACGTTGGAGCTGTCGGTGTAGAAGACAAAACACGAAGATTATAGACTCTGGATTGTTGTACGAGCGCAAGCACAACCACTCTCATTTGCATACACATGGCCCGTATCAATACTTGCTAGGACTCTTTCTTACCTGCTAGCTAGCAGAATATATAAGGCATGCTAGTTCAAATTAGTGGTCATAGTCTAGAAAGGTTTCGGCATTTAATTAGTCATTTGTTTAAGTAGAAGGGAAATGTATTGTAAACGTTTCATCTAATTGTGATGCTTTGCAAAGAAATAGAAGAAGTTGGAGCTGTTGGCTAGGGAAAGAACATGAAGATATTATATTGTGCTATGGATTATTTGTACGTGGACACACAATCACATCTGCATTCACCCGCCGCCCATGAATACAGTAGTTAGGACTCTTTGTTCCTAGCTAGCAGATATACAAGGCATCATAGTGTAAAGTGATCATAGTCATAGACGGGCCATTTGGTAGTTCCATAGCGTTCTAAATGTTTCACCAGTTATTACAAAAAATTGGAGTTGTGAGTGAATGAAAAAACACGGTCTAGCAACATTATAGATGCATAAACATGTACTACCTCCATTCCTAAATATAAGACATTGGGGTAGTTTAATTTAAATTGCCCATCGTAGAAGGAGAGAGAGAGTCCCCACCTGAATGCATT